AGAGAGTCACGTGGAGAGAAAGCATTCTCTCAGGCTTTCACAGAGAGCACACTGGCCAAGCAATGGCCGTGACTCATCCCCATGGCTGACACTGACAAAGGTTCTACAATCTGAGGTACAGGATCTCAGGATAAATCCTGAGGGATTTTCACTGACCTTCTCAGACCAAAAAGCTACAACTCTTGTTGCTTAGGTCCTCCTTTACCTTGGTCTTAACCCTCCAGCAGAAAAGTATAAAAACGAAATATAAGAAGTAAAGCCATGAGCTGGTGAGATGGCTCAGTGGTCTAAAGCACCTACTTAGAACAAGCTAAGCCAAGCAAAGCACAGGGACCGCGGTTCAATACCCCAGCACCACATGCCAGCCAGCCCCGCCCCCTGGTGGGCTGAGCTAGCCACACACAAAATAAATAAATAAATAAATAAAATTAAAAAAAAAGAAGTAAAGCATGGTGTTATGTTGAGCTGTAGGGGACTCAGGTCAAGAATTTCTGACATTGCCAGTCAAGGGGAAGACCCAGTACCGTTATGGACTACTGGACTCTTTTAGAATATTTTGCTGAGTTTACACACCTATAATATTCAACGAACAGAACTTAACAAAAAAAGGGGATAGAGATGAATGTCCATTTTGTATCTGTGTATTCAAAATGGTTACGATAGATATCTAGTTGCATTCTCTTAATGAGTAGTGGGATTTGTTCTAATAGTGTTTGTAAATAGGATATCATGTCCACATCTTGTACAGCAATGAACCTCTATGAAGAATGAATGCAATGTGTTAATTATTGGAACTGTCCTACCAATTTGGTTTGAAACTGTCTCATTGGTATTTGTTTCCCCGTAAAATTATGGAAAAAAAGTGTGAAAAGACAACCTACAAAATGGGGAAGTTTTCCAGCTAGTCCTCAGAGGATTAATATCTAGAATATATGAAACACTCAAAAGAATTTGATCACCTAAAATTAAAGACAGAGTCAACAGGCGCAGGGGCCTGGGGTTGGATCCCTGGGCCTGCTGTTCCGCCCCTCCCCCCGGGGCATGCTGAGACAGCAATCGAGACTCAACATGGTAGTGCACGCCTGTATCCCCAGTTCTTGGGAGGCTGTAAACAGGTGGATCACTACACGTTTGATCTAGTAGTGAGACTCTGAACACCCTACAGATCCTTCCCTAAAATACAAAAAAAAAAAAAAGACCGAGTCAAGAAATGGCCTAGAGAAATGAACAGACACTTCACAGAGGAAGAAGTACAAGTGGCAAATGAATATATGAAAAAATGTTCAACATCTCTGGCCATGAGAGAGATGCAAACTAAAAGAATGCTAAGATTCTACCTTATTCCAGAAATAATGGCAATCATAAAGAAATAAAAAAACTAACAAATACTGGTGTGGGGTGTGGTAAAAAAGGAACCTTTCTGCATTCATGGTGGAAACGTGAACTAGTACAACCATTAGGGAAATTATATGGAGATATCTCAAAGAACTAAAATTAGAAATATCATATGACTCAGCTACCCCCTTCTAGGTATCTTCCCCAAAGAATTTAAGACATTATATTGCAGTGTGACACATACATATCAATTTTTATAACAGCATAAATCATAATAGCTTACTCCTAGAAACAGTCTGTATACTCATCACCAGATGATTGGAGAAACAAATTGTTCTGTAATCCCAGCACTCAAGAGGCTGAGGCAAGAGGATCACCATGAATTTGAGGCCAGCCTAGGCTAAAAAGTGAGTTCAAGTACAAACTGAACTGCATAGTAAAAGCTTGTCTCAAAAAAATAAAATTAAAAAAGATGAAAAAAAGGAGGAGAAATAAATTTTATCTATATATAATGAAATACTATTCAGCTTTAAAGAAGGACAAATTTGAGAGTTTTATAGTAAAATGGATACTATCTAGAAAATATGTTAAGTGTGAAATAAACCAGACATATAAAGTTAAATACCATACAGTATCTCTCATCTGAGTAAGGCAATGTACAAACTAGGAGAAAAAATGAGAGGTAGATCAAGACAAAGAGTAGGATTTCTTGCAGATAGGTAGGGACCCAGAGACCAAGGACAAGGGGCAAGACAGAGGGGATGGGGAAATAGGTAGTGTGAAGTTGTGCCAGGTAGGTCCTAATAAACTCAATGAATGTAAACACTGTAAGCCATAAATATAAACTAAGATGAATAATACCAACAAAAATGAAAAGGGGAAAGGGAGAATTACAAGAAGAGCAGCAAGGAAGGGGATAAGAAAAAAAAGAATATTTTAGAAACAAAGGAGAAATATAAATATGCACTGGGTATTAAATAATATTAAGAAAGTATCTTAGTTACTTTTCTTTTCTGAGACAAAATACCTGATACCCAAAATGAAAGGACAAAGTTTCAGCTTAGAGTTGTAGAGGTTTCAGTCCATAATTGGCTGGGTCCAAGGCAGGATGGCTGTGCAGAGGGGCAGCCCAGAGGAGATACAGTTCATTATGACAGAAAATAGCAAAAGCAAGCAAGAAAGGGGGAGACAAGAAGCTTTCTGCCCCTTATATTGCATTTGGCTACCTACCTTAGGGCAAGTGAAGTACTCACACCCATAATCCTAGGCAGAACTATGCCAAATCAATCAGTGGACTGATTTACTAATCACAAATCCTTATGGTATACAAATATTTAGCAGTAAAATGATAGGACTGGGATCTACCTTCTCTTAAGACAACAGAAAGATAAAATGAATAGATAAAGTGCAGTATAGCAAAACATGGATAACTGTTATTTCTGGAAAACAGATTATGTGGGTTTGTGATATTCCTGAATATATTTGAAATTTTTTATAAAAAGTTCCTAAAAAGGGAAGGAAATGAAGATAAATACCTCAGGAGGATATTTTCAGAGTTGAGAGTCACAATAGTTGCTTCTGTAGCTTGTAGTGAAATTAGTTTTGCAAGAGCCTCTGATGTTTTGCCCTACAAATTAAAACATATTTACAATGCTAAGGAAATATTCAGGTCTTAAAGATACAATCTTTAATATTTATCCAAAAGTCTACTTAATAAATATAATTTATTTGTACAGCTACTTTGGAAATCAGCATGATGATTCTTCAAAAAACCTAATCTAGAGGTTCAAATTGACCCAACTAGTCCTCAACTAGGTGTCTTCTCAATAAAGTTAAAGTCATTATACCACAGTGGTACATAACTATGTTTACAGCAGCACAATTTATAATAGCTAAATCTTGGAAGTATACTCCTCAACTGATGAATTGATAAAATGTGCTATTTGTATAATATGCAGTACTATTCTGCCATAAAGAAGGATAAACTTGAGACATTTTTAGGTAAGGTAAACAGATGCACCTCAAGACTATAATCAAGGGGCTGGAGAGATGGCTCAGTGGTCTAGAGCACCTACTTAGAACAAGCTTGGCAAAAGCATCAGGGACCGCGGTTCGATCCCCCAGCGCCACATGCCAGCCAGCCCGCCCCCTGGTGGGCTGAGCT